TGGGCCCTTCCTCCTCATGGCAAATGGAAATACTATTGGCATACTGGCTTCAACGGCATGTACTGCATTATTTAAAAGGACTTGCAGAGAAAAACAGTAAGAACGAACAGCTTACCACGGACACAACATAATCTACTAAAAACATTTCCCTCTTTCTACCTTCTTTCTTGTTCTCCATTTCTAAGTAGTTTGTGAAGAACACCCCTCCCCAATCTACCTCACCTTAGTAAGGAAGCTTTTTTTTTATTGGATACTTTTAAAAACTTTAACTTCAAACCTATACAAAAGTGAAAAAAAAATAGTACTCGCCTTCATGTACTTACCACACAGCTTCCACAATTATCAACACACAGCCAGTCCTAAGTGTCTGCACCCCCATCAGCATCCCCTTGTCCTATTATTGTCAAGTAAATTTCACACATTTTAATTCATTCACAAATGCTTCAGTATTTGTTCTAAAAGATAAGGACCATTTATGACCATATAATATCATCATTACACCTAAAAATTAATAAATTCTTAATACTGAATATCCAGTAAATGTTAAACTCCAATTGCCCATAAATGTCATTAATTTTTTAATAATTTGCTTGTTTCAATTAAGTTCCAAATAAGGTCCCTGCATTGTGTTTGGTTGATAATGTCTTTTAAGGTATTTTAATCAATAGATTCCTCTTCCGACTCTTCCTTTTCCTGCAGCTTATTTTTAATGAAACCAGGTTGTTTGTCCTATAGAATTTCCTCCATTCTGAATTTTGCTGATTGCATCTCTGTGATATAGCTTCATAAGTTTGGGCTTCATTATATTGGTAATTGGACCTAGAGCTTTGCCAGATTTAGGTTCTTTTTTTTTTTTTTTTTTGAGCGATACTGCTTCATAGGCAGTGTGTTCTTCCATCCAGAGGCATCTAATGTCTGGTTGTCACTCCTTTTGTCCTGTTAGCAGCTACTGATGCTCAATGCCTAAAACATTAATTCACTATGATATTCTAATTATATACTTTCTTCATTTAACTGGAATACTTCTAGAGAAGTATACTTGTATTTGGTTATCCGGTGATATAGTTTGCATAGGAAAGGCAAAATAAACGACTGATTCTCTTTATTTGCAAGTTATCAAAATAATGATTTGGGTTCCCTAAAATGCTCCAAAGGTGACAGATTAGTTTTGTTTCTAGCCATGTGTTCTTAAATAACCTCTAAGGCCGGTCTTGGAATGGTTGGGTTTTGACACAATTCATAGGTTACCAGAAATTAATTATAAATTTGCTTTTTTAATTATTCTCATTCTACCATTTTTTACAGTGATATAAGTTTTCAATCTTTTAGTTGGCTAGGTCTCCTCTTTCATCTAGCTTGGGTTTACCTGTTCTTTTTTGAGTATCCTTGAACACTTATTCATAATCAAACTCTCGGTCTCACACATAAGCCTACTCACTCATTTATTTATTTGTCATCCATTAAACAATGTCCATTGAGGGCCCACTATGTGCCAGGCATTGCCCTAAAACATACAAAAATTGCTTTCTTCTTGGAATTACGTTCCAAAGGGGAAGACAGGAATCACAGACACAAACAGAGAGACACAGACACACACACACACACACAGACACACACACACACACACACACACACCCCTACCTCGTGATAAAAAAGCTCCCATTCCTGTTTTCAGTTTCAACGCCATCCTTCCAGTTTTTTTGTTTTGTTTTGTTTTGTTTTTTTGCGGTATGTGGGCCTCTCACTGTTGTGGCCTCTCCCGTTGCAGAGCACAGGCTCCGGACGCGCAGGCTTAGCGGCCATGGCTCACGGGCCCAGCCGCTCCGCGGCACGTGGGATTCTCCCAGACCAGGGCACGAACCTGTGTCCCCTGCATCGGCAGGTGGACTCTCAACCACTGCGCCACCAGGGAAGCCCCATCCTTCCAGTTTTGTTTGCCTTTCTTCCCATGAAGGTTGGCATCAGTTTTAAAGCCTTCTTAGTTATAGGAATGAAGATGTGTTTTGGTTGGAAGTTCTCAGGAAGAGCGGCTCCTGCAACTGTGAATGTATGTGTGTTTCTGCATGCATATTTCACATGCTGCTGTGCCCATGTGGTGACCTAGCCCATGATTAATCAGGGAAAATTTTGGACTAGAAACCGTGTCTCTGACAATGGCACTGCAGAACAGATGACAGAGACTAGTGATCACTGGTATGCTAAATGCTCTGGGGCAGGGGTACAACTTTTTTTTATTGGAAATACTTTATTTCTGTGCCTCAACTACCATTTCTTAACGTGATGCATATTTGAATCTCCTGGGGAGCTTATATAAACGACTCATGCCAGGCCATAGGTGAATAAATCAGAATCTTCATCAGGTGGTGGGAATGGGGATTGTTTTACAAGCTTCTCAGATGATTCCAATATGCAACCAGGATTGAAAACAGAAGCCTAAATTAACAGGTTTTGTGCTAGGTAATGAGAGTAAAGAGTAAATAAGGCAAGTTCTCCAATACTGTCAGTAGAGGGCAACATGGCCCCAATTATTAAATAATCCAAACTCATTGATGTCTCATTGGGCTAGCTCGATAGATTTTTTCAGCATTTTAAATTAAATATGCTGCTTTCATAAAACTGTGATTTTGGTTCCAGAGCTATATAAGCTTTAACTATATTTTATAACTGAATAAAATTTCAATTAATTTAGAAATTAAACAACGAATTCAGCTATTTCAACAATACTGAGAGGTCATTTTTTAAACTACAGATGAAAACAATTTGAAATGCAGCCAGAATAAATAACATTTAGGTTTTGATAAAAGTTAGGGAATATATTTCTGGATTTGGTAAATTATTTATTTTTAATTTAAATAACATGGGTTGTCAGCATGACTGATTTTCAGCCTAAAGGCTCAAACTAAAAATTCGACAAGAAGATCTGGAAAGAATTCCTAGGAATGTATTTCACAAAGCTGCATTAGTGTCAGAATAACCAACAAATGTTTGCTGTACTAATTAGATTCAGCAGATGGGAGAATTCTTGAGTCAATAACCCAGCCCTATTTTATATAAAGATTCTGATTTATCTGAAACATAACAATACATGCTATTTTTAAACGGCCTTTACATCCACCTTGTATTTAGTGCGAGTGGGGCCCAGTTATAATGCGGTAGAGAGTGTAGCCCATCTGATAAAGATTAGGTTGAAAGTGATTATTCCCTAAATCTTCTTCGGGAGGAGGGGTGTTGGGCATCTACTGCTTGAGAAGTAGTATTAGGCTTACTTACACACAGATTTTATGACACCAAATGGGTCTTCCTTCCCTCTTACCTTCACTCATTGTCAATATATAATAATTTTAAAAAGTAGAGTCGCTTCCAAGAACTAAAGAGTCCCACAATAAAAGTCTAAAGATCAAAGGCCTCATTTTGTGATGGAACCTGTTATCCGCCTTATTGCTCTGTACTTTATCACATTTTGGTACCATTTCAGGTGAATACTGACTAAATCTAGTTGTGTGAAGAATTAATATAGCCAAGTCCAGTAACATGAACACTTTCTCATATTCATATTTGTACATATGTAGTTATTTGCATATAGAAAACATCCTCATCTATAAACATACGTATGTAAACACCCCCATACCCTCTTTACCCATTGACATTGGATTTCAATAAAATCATGTTTCTATTAAAATTTCAGTTCCATCCATAGACTATACCGAAAAACTCTCATTAATGTAAAAATGATCACTCAACAATATAGCCTCAAAATTCCCATACACTGCAGTTCGTTTACTTCAGAAGTCTTGACGTATGCAAGCAAGGCTTGAGATGTCTTACTACATCCCTACAGCACTTGAACTACAGATAGATCATCAACTAGTCATATCCACATTTATTTGGTGGAAAGTTGTTTAAAGCACAATAAGAAATGTAGCAACCATCAAAGGCAGCTTCCTTCTTATAAATAATATCTTGTCTTCTTAAGCAATATAACTTTGTACTTGATGCCTCTAGTGGAAATACTTTTTATCTCGAGAGATGCCAAATTTACTGTCTCTGTACATGTGACACTCACGTTTTAGCTTGTGTAAATGAACACAAGATAAAGTCCGGTACTAACAGACAGAAGAGACTTCCACAGAAGGGTACAAGGAGGGTGAGCACTTGCCACTCCCAAGTCTGCTGGTCTCTTTTCCTATAGTCATGGAAGCTGTTGGTCATTTTGCTTTAGTGGGCAAGAGTCAACTGACTCCCCACTCCCTGTGCCACAGGCCTGCAAGCTTAGGATGGAAAACAATTTCGACATTCACCACTTGGACTCCCGCCCCTAGCAAGCACATTTGTTGTTCATACATGGTCTTTTGGCTGCCTTCTCTCCCAGCCATCTGTTAAGAGAGGCATTGTGCCTGCTCAGATGGGATGGTGCCACTATTTCCAAGAGACTCTCACAAAATACATGTGTCTTAACTACCTTGACTTCACAAAGTTCAAAATACATTTACTGACTGGAATTGCATTTTAAAACCCCACAGAGCTGAGTGGTGAAGGACTGAATTCTGTGTCCAGATGGATTGTGAGATTCCCAAAAGAATTATTCAAGACTTACTTTCAACGGTGGACAATGAAATCGAATGCTGCATTTTCCATGATTGAACACGGGATATAAATACAGCTGCACACATCACTGCTTTCTCCTTCATGTGACCAGTTCTGAGCAAACAGCGACTATACACCTGTTATCCCCTCATCCTCAGGGCTACACATTTCATCAATTCACAGAGATTGTTTATACACTTGGAATATTTGATTTGCATGTGATTGATTATGGCCCAGTCCATGTGAGCCCCAACTGTCATTAGCAAGGCTGTAGTAGTGATACTAGATTTACTCTATGAAACCCACCAGGACAGAGATTGCCTTTCCAAAGAGGGTTGGGTTGAGCTTTTTGCACCTTTCAGCTAGTACATTTTCAAGTTCATCATTTCCCCTCAAGGTTTAAATGTGCCTCTTACCAGATTTTTATGCATCTCAGAGTTGGAGTTTGAGCCCACCTCCAGGTCTCTGTCAAGTTTCATCTTTCCACTAGATAGGTCACCATGTATTGCAGCCAACTTGTGTATCCTTCTGCATTTGTCTGATGGTCATTTCACGTATCCACACCTGGATCGGAAAGCAAAGCTAATTTGGGAATGCAAGCCTAACAAAGCCAGCCAAACACCACCTGAATGAGCTCTAACTCTGAATCAGACAATAAATATTGTTGTGCATATGAATACCACCAAATTTCACCACTTATAAGTCTTTTTCCTCTAAAATTCTACTTAGAAAAGTAATAATTTCTTAACTGAAAGCTAACATTAAAAGAATTACCTAGGGCTTCCCTGGTGGCGCAGTGGTTGAGAGTCTGCCTGCCGATGCAGGGGACACGGGTTTGTGCCCCGGTCCGGGAAGATCCCACATGCCGCGGAGCGGCTGGGCCCGTGAGCCATGGCCGCCGAGCCTGTGCGTCCGGAGCCAGTGCTCCGCAATGGGAGAGGCCACAACAGTGAGAGGCCCGCGTACCGCAAAAAAAAAAAAAAAAAAAAAAGAATTACCTAAAACTACACATTTTTTAAAAAAAAAAAGATTACCAAATTTATAGTATCATGCTCCTGCTCGACTAAATAAATATTAGAAATTTGATTTTATGTAGAAAATGGAATTTATAGAATGTTCCCCCCCCCCCAAAGGATGTAAGTGATGAAAATAAACTATCTCACTTGATTCAGAGAGGATTTTGTCCAGATGATGGGCATCTTTGAGTGAAGTGGTTATATTGTGTGTGAGGAACATTCTGCACAGGGTGGCAGGTGAGGTAATAAAAACCCAGAAGAGGGATAATTTGGATGCAAAGGGCAAACAGCAGAAGGAAGCTCTCATGAGCTGAACAGTGGTAATGGGATGGGGAACACAATGATACGAGCCCACTGAATCAGTCAGGGGTGTGTAATAGGGGCCTTGTAACTGAGGATAAGGAATCTGACCTTAAAGCCCAGTGTGATGGGAAAGTCACAATGGTCCCACGAACTGGGTTGTGGTGTGGTAATCTGGCCCAAGGCTTAGGTGGAATGTAGCCTAAAGAATCAGTCACAGCGGGACAGGACCTAGGAAGACTGACAGCTGACTGCAAACCTGAGGTGTTCTAGCTAGAGATAGGTGAGTAACTGCCACTGAGTCCAGCTCTGTGAGAAGCAACATGCATACCTTATCCATCATTGTATTTCCAGAATCGAACACAAAGCCTAGTGTATAGTAAGTGCTCAATAAATATGGTGGATCACGTGAGGGAGAAGATAAAGTTTTGTGTGATGGTTTGAAGAAAAGAGCACCAACACTTGGCAATGGAATGGCAGTCATGTATGAATGACAATTATTATTCCAAAGCTTCTTGACTGAGGACTAGAGCTGGATTTACAAAAAGCCACATAAGCTTAAACTTCAGGGCCCCTCTCTGGTACAGGCCCCTTCCCAGATTCTGGGAGTGACTCTAGCAATGTGTATATGTCATCAGTTTTTGTAAAATTATCGAAAGGAGGACATTTGAACAACAATAGATAAGACTGCTATCCTTTTCCTCATTGACTTTCCCTCAGTCACTCCTACTTTCATGCTGGGGATGGTATTGTAGAGTAGCTGTGAGCCTTTTGGGAATCTGGCTAACAGGAAGCTGAATTGAAGAAATAATTTCAGTTTAATGAGATCCAGTTATATGGTTTTCAGCCCTTTTTGAGTGTAGCTAAGCCCTAGATACTCCTTTTGCTACTATGACAACTCACCTGGTGCTGTGACACAGAGGGACAGGAATAGAGAAAATATCAAAATCGTTTACTGTCAGAGACAATTCTCTGACTGTGTCCTACAAGGCCAGTCCCCAGTCTTGGGTGGAGGAGTAGCAAGGTTTGAATTGTTTGGAGGTAGAATCTAGTTATGGAAAGCTTTTCCTCTTATCCAATTTTCATTAACACCTCATCAGAAAACAATGTTATTACTGCCCAGTAATGCAGCGCAGAGTATTACAGATTCACCACATATTGTTTTCCTTTTAGATGGGAATCTCATGAAATAGAATTTATCAGAATTATTATAGAGGTAGGGTATAAACTTTTGTCAAAACTGCAAATAGTACATGTGTGAATTCACATATTTTATATGTCCCAACAATTCATAATAAAAAACAAATTTCTATCATCCATGTTAGAAGAAAGACTGAATTACCTTTCTACTCTGTCTATAGGATATATTTTTAAATTGCTTGGCATATAATTAGGTGATCCAAAAGTAGACAGACAAAAAAAGTAGAAAATGTATAAAAGTACACTGGGCAAAGTAATAGAAAATAATATGTTGTTTTTCTTTTGTAGTGTTTGTGATATTTGTCAGCTTTTCAACATTGGTAACGTCTTGTCATTGCTTTTCTCATTCTGAATATTTGCCTAATTTATAATCAGAAGTTTGCATTCTCTCTCTTAAAGAGCCCCTCCCCCAAAATTGTATAAACCTCAAGACCCACAAAAGCTGATTAAAACAGAGGTGGTGAATCTGATAAGAAGAGTTTAGAAGAAAGACAAAGAGAAATGTTTCTGTATATAAGAATAGAAAAAGTTCAAGATACTGATGGCATATTTGGGTGTAGACTGTAGCAGAGAAATTGAGGATCAGACCATGTAAAATTGTCTCTCATTTTTATACATGGGATCCAAGACATTGAGGAGATTCTAAAAAACTGAATGATGGAGTATAGAGACACCAGTAGAAATGAACACTAACAGAAATAGGTACAGGTCAGAACCTGAAAGACTTCTATTTTCAGTGGAAAGTAGGAGGATATAATCCTAAAGTTGAGATTATCAAGATAGAAGATAAAAGTAAATTCCTGGAAACTAAGATAAGAAAAAGACAATATAGAAAAGCACTATAGAATTTAAGAACGAGTTACACATACACAGTTGGTCCTGCGTATCCACGAGTTCCGCACCCAAACTTTCAATCAACCGCGGATCGATTGGTGAAAACGGGGGCCTGACTGTGCCGTGTCCCTTTATCGGAAGGGACTTGAACATCAGCGGATTTTGGTATCCACCGGCTCAAGGGGCCTGGAGACCAATCTCCCACGGATACTGAGGGGTGATGTATTATCTACCAATAAAGACGATTGAAGGTGAAAGCAATTTTTTCTTCAACATTTTCTTAATGTTAGTACTGATAAACTCTGTAACAATATTAATAATAATGCAAATAATAAAAATTTTAAAATTAATATCTATTCAGAGGATTTTTGTGAAGATTTTAAAATGCGTTTAAAGTGCTCAGCAGCATAGTGCCCGGCATAGAACAAGAACAAAAATTACATATTTGAAGTATATGTTATTAGAGTAAGTAAAAATGAAATCAGATGAAATCTGCAAGAAACAAAGGGGAAAAAAGAAAAAAATCACTCCTGATAGAGCAGGCTTAATGGAGATTTACAACTTCGTTGGTAATGATCATCATGAAAAATAAATATACAAGCATACATTTAACATTAATTGTTCTTTGAAAATGTTTATCCTTGAGAGAAGTTTGAAGAGACTGAAAGGAATGAAAGGTTAATAAAAGAGTTGAATTAACAGTGTTAGCTGTTTGAAATTGCAAGGCTTTAGTTCCACTAATAAGCTGTCAATGCTATATGATAAAGCTCAAGGAAGTTTCACAAAGCCTAGATTCATCTTACTGTTTTTCTAACTCCTAGAGAATATCTTAATTATAGCAAGGATAAATCTTAAGAAACAAACTGTAGGAAAGTCAGAAAGACCTCCCACACATAGACAACTTTCAAAAGCTTCCCACCATGCGTCTTTTCAATATGTTAATGCTGCAGTTAACCAAGTCGGGAGAGAGTTTCCAGTTTTTCTTCATCCTGATTTTTCACATCAGAATATCTGAGAAACAGGGACTTCCCTGGTGGTCCAGTTGTTAAGACTTCATGCTTCCAGCGCAAGGGCGCATGTTTGATCTCTGGTCGGGGAACGAAGATCCCACATGCCGCACAGCCCCCAAAAAATAAAAATAAAAATAAAATAATCTGAGAAACAAGAGCGTTCCAATGCAATCCCTAATATATCAAGAATTAGATAACTGGGCAGGGTGATCGATTTTTTATGACTTCATTATAACCATTCTCATAGACTTTGTTTCCAGCCCTTAGTTCCATTTGTATCCTTTAGCATGTAGCTTTAAATTGTCCACTGAAATATTTTATTTAGAGCTGCAATGTATGAAGAGAGACCTACAGATTCAAAGAAAATGCCAATTGAAATGACATGCCCCTGCAGCATATTAAAATATCTAATACTGAAAGAGGGAACATAGAAACTGTTGATGGATGTGGAAGAAATAGAAACCTCATGCACTGCTGGCAGGAATGGAAAACAATACAGTCAGTTTGGGAAAGTTTGTCAGTTTCTTTAAAAGTTCAACAATCATCTAATATACAACCCAATCATTCCACTCCTAGGTGTTTATCGAAGAGAAGCAAAAACGTTATGACTATATAAAGATTTGTATGACACAAGTATCCATAGCAGCTTTATCTGTCAAATGTTGCAAATGTATTTGCCAAAATTTGGAAACTACCCAAACATCCATCAACGGGTGAATGGATAATCAAATTATGGCATATCCATGCAGTGGCATACTTCTCTGCAATTAAAAGAATGAACTTTCATATGTACAACAACATGGATAAATCTCAAAATAATTATACTGAGTGAAAGAAGCCAGACAATGAAGAGCAAGTATTGTATTATTTTGTTTATATAAAGTTCTACAAAATGCAGATAAATCTATTGTAATAGAAAGCAGATCAGTTGTTGTATAGGGATGAGAAGACAGGGAGGACCAGAAAGAAGGAACGACAAAGGTCATGAAGAATTTGGGGGGATGATGGATATGTTCATTACCTTGGTTTTTAAATACATTTTATATGTTTATTATCTTGATTTTTGTGATGTTTTTATGGGTGTATATAGTCATGTTTCATTCTTCTCAGGGGATTGGCTCTAGAACCCCTCCTTGGATACCAAAATCCATGGATGCTCAAGTCCCTCATATAAAATGGCATCATATTTGCATATAACCTATGT